TCCACCTCCTCCCCAACTATGTGCATGCGTTCATTTGATTATTTAAAAAAACAAAAAACAAAACACTTTCATCTATGTTTTCTCCCCATTACGCAGCATCCACAGATCTCACACATTAAAAAGCACTTAGGTGACATAAATTCTAGAAGGTTAATGGGACAGAAAAGGTCATATCTCAAAATACCCTAAACCCAAAGGCCCTCAGGGTCAACTTTAAATGTCCTAGCCTGGCATCGAATACCTTCCCCATTGCCAATCTGCTGCTTCTCTTGGCCACACTCTGAGCTCCATTATCTGAACTTTCCCTGAAATACAAAAAAAAGTGTAGACACCAAATCCCTCCTTATTTCCCTCTTTACAGAGAAGGAAAATATGGAGAGGGATGGGCTTCCCACTATGAAAGACCCCATGTTGAGCCTTGGACCTCATGAAGCCACTATGTCTGCTCACCATGGCCCCTCTCACCCCACCCATAATCTCCTTTTTTCACATCACTTATTATCATTTTCTTTTTTTCTTTTTTTCTCCCTCTCTAGCTCCAGGAGGGCTGTCTGTTCACTACTGCCAATATAGGGATTAAAGACTGCCTGATGCATCCTAGTAGGTGCTTGTTATGGGCAGAAATGTGTCCTCCGAAAGTCATATGTTGAAGCCCTAACCCCCTGCGCTTCGGAATATGACTCTATTTGGAGACAGGGCCTTTAAAGAGGTGAGGTCATTAAAATGAGGCCATTAGAGTGGGCCCTAATCCAATCTCACCTGATGTTCTAGTGTCCACTGGGCTGCAACGCACACCACATTTTTGCCCTGCCCATCCTATGGTAGCCCTGGTGTTCATGCCTGTCTGTCTTCCCAATAGTCCCTCCCACCCTGTTACAGTAGCAGCCTCTGGAGAGGAGCCTCACCTGGGTTTCAGGAGTTCAGCCATAGTCTCTCCTTCTCTCCAAACAGCCTCATCTCCCTTGGAACTCCTTCACTGGCCTCGGGTGAGAGACACACTCTCTCCCATCCGTGAGTGCTCTCCGCTCCTAAGAGTTCCCTCTCAAAACTCCCCTGGTCTGCCTTCTTAGGCTCTGGCTGAAGGTGGGGAGATAATAAGAGTAGTCATTGGAAGTCTTGTCCTTAGCTATTGTCCCAGACGTTTCACGGGCTACTGGGCTTTTAGAACAAAGACCTTGTGTTAATTTGGGTCCTAGCAGGAAACAAGGGCAGACTCAGCTGTTTTGTTTTTAAGAGAATTTAATGAAGGGTGTGGACATTAAAGAACCCAGCATGGGTGTTGAGGCACCCTGGGACTAGCAATGATTGGAGTCCTTACCATCCCAGGCTACAGGAGTAAGGGGAAGAAATGGGGTTATCAGGGCCAGTGAAGGGGGTTATGGCAGGAGCTATAATGGAGAGGGGACACAGCCATTGCCAAAACTGTAGTCCTAGGCAGGACAGGAGCTAGGAAGAAATATCCCAACCTATTATATTCTCCCATCTCCTGCCAGGGCCTGACATTTGTCAAATCCAGCCAGGAGCCAGGAACCATGGGAACTCAGTGATGCCCTGGGTACAAAGCAGGATGGAGAAAGGTGGAGTGGAGCAGGAAATACCCAAGCAGTGGGCAAGCGACCCAAATGAGGCCAATGGGATGGAGTGCTCTCAATTCCTGGAATCTGGCTCTTAACCAGACAAACCCACTAGCCTATGCAGTGAACAGCATCATTCTGACAGACTGTCCCCACCATAAGACCACTACTGAGGGCCTGCTTTCCAGAGCCTAGGAGTAGCTTCAGCTCCTACCCACCCCTAGTCAAGCTATTTTTCCAGTCTCCCAGCAACTCTGGGGCCTTGAGCCTCCTGACAAAGTCAGTCAGAGTTGGTAAACATCTTTACCCATATGAGTTGGGGGTCTTTTTCAAACAGATAATGGGCAGAGCAAACCAGTTGCCAGGAGGGCTGAGAACCAAGCTCAGGGCATTGTAGACCAAGATGGAGCCAATATCACTCAGCACTGCACTTGCAAAGTCACCCACCACCAACCAGCCAGAGACCCTGGACCTCAGACACCTCTGGAGTTACTACCATTCCAAAAATGGATTTTATATGCTCCTGCTTCTCATTGACATCTCCCAAAATGAAGCTCAGGGTAGTGAGTTTGACTAAACCCAGGTCATGCGCCTTCAACAAAACTGCAAGGAAGCATGGGAAAGCAAGCACCCCACATTCCAATTAGAGGGAAGAAGTTTCTCATGCTGGGCAGCCAACAATGTCCACTAACAAATACATGTACCCTTTTCAATATTTCCTTCGGATAATATCTCCAAAGACGATTACTGACTCTTTTGACTCCTGGTATGTATTGCCAAATTTTTTCCCTAAAGAGTTAAACTCCTTCACAGTCATATCCAATGAACGGGGTGCCTGCTTTGCCACAGCCACATAAAGTTTTTTTTTTTTTTTTTAAAGCCAATAGGCAAAATATGATACCTTATAGCATATTTGGGGGGCGGGGGGAAGGGGTTCCTATATTTGTTCATTATTTGTATTCTGCAGTCTTTGATACTTGACTTAGGACACATTTCATTATTTGTTTTGACGGCTGATTTTTCATTATTTTCCTTTTCGTAGCCTGTGCTAAAATTAGCTGGCATTTGCTAAAAGGAGAGATGTATTTGGATTAGATTCAGCTGTGTGTTACAGGAAAAACAACAGGCTTAAACTAGATAGACGTTTCTTTCTCTTCCACATAAAAGAGGCCTAGAGGGTAGTCCAGAGCTGGCCTTGGACCCACTCCATGAGGTTGTGAGGAACCCAGCTCCTTCTTGATCAACTCTCCACCATCCCGATGGGGCATCATTCTAAGGTGGCAGCTGGAGCTCCAGCCATCATGCCCAGCAACAGGACAGATGACAAGGAGAAGAGGGAATAGCTCCTACCTTTACATCTGTTTGCATTTTGTTGGCCAAAATTCAGACATGTGGCCTCACAATCAGTCCAGCTAAAAATCAGGATCTTACTACTCAGGACTAAGGGAAGAATGGATATTGAGAGGCAGACAACTCTCTCTTCCATAGACAAGGATAAAAACTGTGTTAAAGACAATCCATTCATGTAAGAACAATCATGATGATAAAGATAATATTTGGCAAATAGTGACTAATTGTGGGCAATGTGTTGAAAAGATTATGTAATCCTTACCACACCCCTTTGGAGGAGGTTCTATCAATATCTTCATTTTCACTGAGGAAACTGAGGCACAGAGAGACTATATAATTTGTTCAAAGTTACCCAGCCAGCCGGTGGCACAACCAGGAATTTACTGCAGGCAGCCTGGCTCTAGAAGCCCCAGGACATGACACAACTATGAAGAGGCAACTCTTACCAGCAACTACAGAACCAACCCAAGGAGGCCAGTTGGACTTGTCTAAGGGGCTTACTGACTCAGGAGTAAGGAGAGGAGACCTGAGCCAGAGCTGCTTTCTTACTTTGTGCCTCTGAATATTTCATTTTTTCACGCATTCAACAAAAGTTCTTTCATAACACACATTACATTTGCAATGAACTAATGCCTATTTGCCATTCCTTGGGGGCAGATATTGTATCCCCAGCAGCCAGCACAAAGTAGGTGCTCAAAAGATATTTATCTGTGAATGAGGGCACATGCCATGCCTGCTCTGTGCCAGGTTCTGTTATGGGTGCTGAGAGTGCAAGAATGAGACACAGACCTGCCCACTGGCACTCATGGCCAAGCAGAGAAGACCAACAGGTAGATCCCACAGAGAAGAGAGCAGGCAAAGGCAGGGGGAGAAGTCTGGAATAGACTAATTGTACTCAAAGATGAGTCACAAGCAATAAGGGATAAGGTCCTTAAGGTATACCAGACTTAAAATTCCTCTCAAGTCCAAAGTGAGAAATTTAGCCTCATCCCTGAAGCAATAGGGAGCCACCAGAGGCTTTAAGCATGAGTGACAGAGCACCTATTTAGAAAGATTGTTCTCGCAGCCTGTGCAGAGGATGAGAGGAGGTGGGGAATCAGAAGCAGGGAGATCTGTGAAGAGGCTGGACGAGCACCGTGGTGATAGGGCTGTAAGGAGGCCAGGACCTGAGTGACGAAACAGATGGGCTTCAGGGGTGGTTAGGAGGTAGACAGGTTGACACGTCAGCTCGATGGGGGCAAGAAGGTAAGAGGTGGGCTTTTGAGGCTGGGGAAATGGGACAGTGGTTGAGAGGGGCATAGAGAGGAATCTGAGGTTAGATAGGGGCCAAAATGAGGGGTTTCAAAGGAAGGTGGAGTAGGGAGGTAAAGAAAAACAAAAGAGGCCCTATGCTTGCCAGACAGATCCCCGGGGGAGTCTGGGAGGGGAAAGAAGGGGACCTGAGGAGACCAGAGCAAGGGGGCGGCTGGAGAGGGGCCCTGGCTTGAGCTAGGGCAGACAGCAGTTGGACGCCTGCAGGCTGTGCTCATGGCTCAGAAATGTCCCAGTCCTGCCAGGAGCCTGCCTGGCCCCTGCTGCCTCTTCACTTCCCCCTCCCCAACCCCAGGCCGGCCCTGACATCAGAAGCTCTGAAGCTGCACTCCCCACCCCCAGAATGGACCTCCCCTCCCCAGAACCCAGGCATGCTCACACCCTCCCCACCATCCCTATGACGGATAGGCCAAGGAAGGAGGGGGAGAAAATAAACACTTCTGGGGAGGGGCATCAGGAAACAAGGGATAGGCTGCCAGTGCCAGGGGGCCCACAAGTCCAGGGGGCGAATGGCAGAGGGGATCCAGGGAGCAGTCTGAGCCGGCAGGAGTTAATGTCTGCAGTATTTTGCCCCTGACAGGCCTAATGAGACACAGGTGGTGCCCTGGCCCCAGCAGATGCTGGTTCAGTGCCTGAGACGGGGAGAGGGGGTTCTGCAACTCTAGGGGGCGGGGCTGGGGCGGCTGGCTGGGGCCCAGCACATAACTCTGGGCGGTTGCAGACTGGGGCAGCAGACACCCAGCCGCTCTGAGCTGAACTGGCAGCATGAAGGTACTGGACCTGGGGCGGGGGACGCGTGGCATTGGGAGATTGAGCCCATTCTGTTAAGAGAACCCTGAAACTGAGAGGGGTTTATGGAGGCACAGGGGTTTCTCGTGATCCAGTTGAAACTCTTAGGCTATGAGGGTGCTAAGGCTGTCCCAGAGTGGGGTTTCTTGGGAGGGGTAAGAGGGCAAGCAAAGGGTTTCCTGTAGGGGGGACTCTGGTGCTGGAGGGAGGCCCTGTGATGTGACCCTGTTTTTCTGTCACCAGGCCCTCCTGGCCCTGCCGCTGCTGCTGCTTCTCTCAATTCCCCGCTGCGCCACCCAGGTTTCCGGGATCCGGGGAGATGGTAAGCAGCACATGTTTGCAAATGTGGCCTGGCTAACAGGCTGGGTAAGGAGAAGTTGTTCTGAGCCATCATTTTTGGGAGTCAGGCCTCAAGGCTGAGGCCCAGATCTGCAGGACTGTCTCCTGTTCTAAAGATGAGGCAGGTGAGCAAGATGATCTTCAAGCATCCCCCCTCTCGAAGAAAGGGGGGATGCTTGAAGATCATCTTGTTCACCTGATAGAGTACACTACCCCAAGGGACAGAGACAAACTGTGGGGTGCCGAGGTGTGTGCAGTATGCCTTAGCCCCTTCTCCTCACCCTCCTTCCCCCATCTCCCAGCTCTGGAGAAGTCTTGCCTTCAGCAGCCCCTGGACTGTGACGACATCTACACCCAGGGCTACCAGACAGATGGCGTGTACCTCATCTACCCCTTGGGCCCCAGCGTGCCTGTGCCTGTCTTCTGTGACATGACCACTGAGGGCGGGAAGTGGACGGTGAGTGGGAGGAGAGGAAAAGAGGCCCAGTTCTAGCACCGTGATCAAGCTTCACCTCTGAGAGCTTTAGTTTCTTCATCTCTAAAATGAGGATAACAATAACCACAGCATAGTTTGTGAGCTGCTGCCAGCACTGAATTCTAGGTGCTTAAGGCAGGCTAGTGAATATAATCCTCACAATAACCCTGGGAGGAAGGTACCTTTCACAGACAAGGAACTGAAATAAACCCCAGAGAGGTGAAGTAACTCACCAAAGGTCACACAGCCAGCACAGGACTCCCACCCAGGCGTTTGAACTCTAGAATGCCCTCTTAACCTCTTCCCAGCACTCAGCAGTTGCTGAGAGCTGCCAGTGTGCACCTTGGTTTAGGCCCCAAGCTCAGTCCTTTAACAAACTGCCTCAGCATCACAGGGTCCATCCCTAGGCGAGGACCTTTCCCAATGGAGCCTTGATAGTCCAGGCCCGTTCTCTCTGCTACAGGTTTTCCAGAAGAGATTCAATGGCTCAGTGAGTTTCTTCCGGGGCTGGAACGACTACAAGCTAGGCTTTGGCCGCGCCGATGGGGAATACTGGCTGGGTAAGGTGGGACTCAGATGGGCTGGGGGCTGCCCCAGGGCCAGATCCTTGCTGACTAGCTGCCCCTCCTCCCCAGGGCTGCAGAACTTGCACCTCCTGACGCTGAAGCAGAAGTACGAGCTGCGAGTGGACTTGGAGGACTTTGAGAACAACACGGCCTACGCCAAATACGTCGACTTCTCCATCTCACCCAACGCGGTCAGTGCTGAGGAGGATGGCTACACCCTCTACGTGGCAGGCTTTGAGGACGGCGGGGCAGGTATCACCCTCTCGCCAGTCTAAGGAGCAGCTGTGGGGAAAAAGGCACTGCCAGTTGGCCCCTGACCCCCTTCAGGCCCTTCCGCTTCCTGGCCTAGAAGGGCCACAGCTGGCTTCCAACCAGCTTGGGCCTCAGCTGCATCCACTCCACTCTAGGCAGGCCTGTGAGAAGCAGCTGTTTCTCTTCACGGCAGGAGCACAGCTACCCAACATCTGGCTCGGGGAGGGTGCCCCATCCCACCAGGCTGACACGTGATGTCTCTCACAGCATCACTCATTATTGCTGTCACTTCCCTTCCTGCCAGCTCGGGGCTCAGCTCCCTGCCTCAGCAACCCCATCCCTCTTTCCACCAGGCGACTCCCTATCTTACCACAGTGGCCAGAAGTTCTCCACCTTTGACCGGGACCAGGACCTCTTTGTGCAGAACTGTGCGGCCCTCTCCTCAGGAGCCTTCTGGTTCCGCAGCTGCCACTTTGCCAACCTCAATGGCTTCTACCTGGGTGGCTCCCACCTCTCCTATGCCAACGGCATAAACTGGGCCCAGTGGAAGGGCTTCTACTACTCTCTCAAGCGCACTGAGATGAAAATCCGCCGGGCCTGAGGGGCTGGCCCCATCAGGCCCCAACACGCCCCTGGCTGCTTTGGGTTTCCATGAGTGCTCCCTCTGCTGTAGCCACCCCCATCTTTGTCAGTTCTGTTGCTCTTAGCACCTGCTTCTCACAGGGGGCCTTATGGCTCTAGCCCCAGCTGATCCTATAATTTCCTGGGCACCCATCTCTAAGCCAAGCCTCTGCTCCCCACCACCTGAGGCTATACTGCTAGCAGCTTCCCAGGCCTCCTCTGAAAGGCACAGCCAGCCTGGATCTGGCTGGGCTCCACACAACTCTTATTTGCCTCCACCCTATTCCAAAGGCTGAGAGTCAGGAGCTGCTCTCCCAGGCTGCAAGCTTTTGTGTTCCACCTTAGCCAGCTTCCTTACTGTGGGCTCCTCCATCTGGGGCCACCCTAGTGTGCTACTCTGAGCTGATGCAGTCTGACCAACACCCACAGAGTATGCCAGACCACCTGCATGTGGCCACTAATGCCACACCCCAGCAACCTCCCTAGCTGTTCTTAGAATCTCTCACATCCTTCGCCTCCCTCCCACCAGCTTATTCTCTAGCGGTAAGCACCATGGACCCCCCCAGCCCCACCTCACTATCATATCCAGTTTCCCCCACCTGACTGTCCCAGGCCCGTAAAGCTCAATGCCAAAACTGTATTTTACCACAGCTACTGCTCGCCACCTGAAAACAGCCACAATCAAGGTAGGCATAAACATGAGGTTCTCCCACCCAGGCCAGGGTTGAGGTCTGACCATGTCAAGGGGCAGAGGACAACTTCTGTGGGGCTGGAAGCAGGTGGGGAGTGGGCAGTCTCAATAAACCTCAGGACCTGAATGAACTGGTTTTGGCTGATGTGCATGCAAATGCGTTTGCTTGGCCCCCAAAAGTGGGGACCTGGCTCCTTGTTGCTCCCCTAATGACAGCACCCTGCCCTCCACTCCAAAGACACCTGGAGTTAGGCGCTATAGGAAACCTTATATTTCATTAGCCTCATTTTGATGGCAATAAGATTGACTAATAATAAAATTATATAATAATAATAACAACAATGACAATAAAAATACAATACTGAAAAGGGTTGCTCAGGGAGTAGAGGCTTCCCAATCCTGCCACGGCTCGGTGGTGGCTCAGGTGGCTACTTAAGGCTGCAGGGTGGGTCTGAGATGAACCTGCAGAATAATTCAAGCTGAGCTTCCTCTGCTGGGCCCAAGGCACCAGCCCTTGAGAATGCTCTTGTGGGCCTTGGAGCCAAGTCTGCCCCTGGCAGCAAGGCACGGGCTGTGGGCCTCAAGACTCCTGGAGTTCAGGCAGGTCAGCCAGCAGCATCGGGGAATCCATCTGGATCTCACGCTGCAGGGACTCAATGTCGGCAGAGTTCATGCCATGGCCCTCAAGCCAGTCAGCAAGAAGGGAAGCTGAGAGCGAGGCCGAGTCTGCCTGGCTGCAGGGGAAAGGGGAGCAGGGAGAGTTGTTAGCCTAGGCTGGCTCCTCACCCATCCCACAGGTAGCTCCTCCTGTACCGGGAACTACTACCCACAGTCCCACTCCAGAAGTTCGGTACAGCCATCTTACCCATCCTGTGGCCCGTCAGCCACGCCCATATCAAAAGACTGGTTTAAGAATTCCTCCAGGTCAAAGCCAACACCATAGCCAGCCCCACTGCCCTTTGGAGTGCCTGAGAACACAGGGGGCAAGGGGTCTTCCACCTGCAGGAGATAATGACAGGTTATAATGCAAGCACCACCAAGAGCAGAGTGAGGTCTACAAGACACCCCCTTGTCCTGATGCTCCTAGTGAACATGCCTGGATACCCATGGTTGACAATGCCAGCCTCGACAATCAGTGAGAGCTAGAGGCCCATCGCCAGGCCAGGCACGTCCCAGGAAGCATATTTGTCTCCTAACAACTGCTCATCAACATTATGCTCCTTCTACAAGCAAGGAAACAAGTTCAGAGATAAAGCCCTATCTGCTGCTCTGTTTTCATGGAACAAGGACACATCTCTCATCTCCCTGTCCCCACCAAACAGCAAGGACTCCCCAAACCCATTTTCCCTGGGCCCAGATCCTGGTGTCCTCACATCCTGGGCCTTTCCTCTCACCTGAGACTTGGACAGCTGCTGGGTCACCAGGTTGACGTCAGGTGACTCTGAGGTGGAGGACTGAGGAGCCCCCCTGGGGTCCGGAGGGGGTGGGCCAGATGGGAAGTAAGGCAGAACCCCCAGGGTGCTGGGGCCAGGCAGCCCAGGGGGTGGCACAAGCGACTGGGGGGCCAGAAGGCTGGAGGTGGCGGTCTGGAGTGCAGCAGGGCCAGGGATGGGCCCAGGTGGGCCAGCAGGGTGGGGAGCAGGGCCAGGGGGTGGACGGGCAGGCTGTGGACCAGGAGTAGAGCCTACAGGTTGCAGTGGGGGTCCAGTGGGCTGGGCTTCAGGGCCAGCAGGACTGGTGGGCTGGGCTAGATTGTGTATTGGCACTGGGGCATGGGCTGGTGCCAGGGTCGGGGCTGGGGGCCGGGCCATGCGAGTCCAGCGCTCTAGCAGGCTGCGATCATTGTCACTGAGCACCAGCCCAGCCAGGGGATCAGTTGAGGGGATCCCAGAGGCCCCCGCCCCCCGTTCCTTGCGCTCCCGCTCCTGCCGCCGCTTCTCCCGCTCCTTGGCTCGTTCCTGTCGCCGCCGCCGCTTTTCCTCCCGCTCCCGCTGGCGCTCCTGGGCTGTCACTGGCTTCCGAGGCTCAGGTGCTTCCAAGGGGGCACTGGGGCCATCTACAGGGAAGTTGGACAGGGGGAAGGTAAGAGCCTGTGGCCCTGTCCAAGCCCAAAGTCCCCCTTGTGCCACCCCATTCCCAAGTCAGTAGCTGCCTCCACAAGGCACCTCTAAGCCGGCTTCGCAAGGACTTGAGCAGGGCAGCTTTGAGGGCTGCCTTGGTGTTGTCTGAGATGGCACCCTCCCTCTTTGGAGGAGTTGGTTCACTGGCTGGAGGGGGAGGTGGCTGCAGAGTCAGATCAATAGTGTCAGGTGCAGGGCCAGGGCATGGCAGTGGGGCTGGGGGAGGTGACTCCATGGCACAGTCCCCACTGGGAGCCCAGGGACTCGGCATTTCAATGTCTGGACAGCTAGGCTCACTAGCCACAGGCTGTAGGGAAGGCTGGAAGCGTATTTGTTGACGGATGCCCTCACGCCGTGCATGGAAGTCCTCAATCTCGGCCACAATAGCCTCTTTAATCCGTTCCCGAGTAAGGGCTTCACGGTCAAAGGCAAAGTCAAAGGGTGGGGCACAGTCAGGCTCATCATCAGGGTCATGGTACTTGGCCAAGAAGGGGTGGCGAAGGGCAGCAGCTGCTGAGATGCGGGCACTGGGCTCAAAACGCAGCATTCTCCCTAGCAGTGAGAGGGCCTGGCGGTCAGCACCTGGGTACACTGTCTCCCAGGGCACAGGCTGGCGTGGTGGCAGACTCTGGATATACGCCCGCACCCTTTCAGCCCCTACAGCTTGAATCACAGCCGGCGATGGGGTACCCAGCACCATCATGATCAGCTGCAGCTGGTGCACATAGTTTTTGCCTGGGAAGAGCTGGCGCCTGGCCAGCATCTCACCAAAGATGCAGCCCACAGACCACAGGTCAATAGCCTGTGTGTACTCATGAAGTGAGAGCATGAGCTCAGGGGCACGGTACCAGCGAGTGGCCACATATTCAGTCATGAAGTACTGGTGCTCAGCAGGCGAGGTACACAGGCCACGGGCCATGCCAAAGTCACCAATCTTGAGCTCACAGTTCTCATTCACCAACAGGTTAGAGGGCTTGAGGTCGCGGTGGATGACCTGAGCTGAATGCATATACTTGAGGCCCCGCAGCAGTTGGTACAGGAAATAGCGCACGTGCTCCAGCGTGAGTGGCTGTGAGGAGTGGATGATCTGGTGCAGGTCACTCTCCATCAGGTCCAGGACCACATAGCTAGAAGGCATAGGGGAGAGAGACAGTGGGCTGTCTTGCCTACACTCCAGCCCCAACCTCACCATGTCCTCCTGGCTCCAGATAGGAAATGGCCTTACCCTTCGACTATGTAAAGGCCAACGGCATGGTATGAAGATTCTAAACTGTCTACAACTTTTCCACGAACTTAAATCATTTTTCTCTCCAGATCTATTTCCTCATCAGAGAAAAATGAGGTTGGACTAAATAAGAGCCGGCTAGTAGGTTTAGTTTTGAGGCTGTCTCCATTGTTTGGTAGTGGCTGCTTCAAAGACTGTAATGAAAATTGTCGTGGCTTGCCTATTTTCTGTAGAAAACTGTTCTGTGATTGATTGATGTCTGCTCTGGGAATAGCAGGGTGTAGTTATAGAATAAGTGTCCTGTTTATAATCTTATATACTGAGTCTATAAAATTTTAACATCTGTACTCTTCTTAAGGAATCACAGTTGTTCCTGGTAAAACCCTAAGGGAGCACTGGTCCTGTAACAAGGGGACTTTTCCCAGCCTGCATTACATTACGTTCAGCTGTCCTTCCATAACTTCAGCAATATGGTCCCAACCCTCCGTAAAGGTCCCCACTCTGCCTCCCTCTCCCATCCCCGCTCCTTACACAGATTTGAACTCGCCATAGGGCACAGTGGGCCTCAGGATGTCCTTGATGGCGATGATGTTGTCATGCTTGAAGTGCTTAAGGATCTTCAGTTCCCTGAGGGTCCGCTTGGCATTGGTCACCACGTCAAAAGCATTAGGGATCTTCTTAATGGCCACTTGCTGGCCTGGGGAGCAGGGAAAAGGCAGATACTACAAGGTACCTTGGGGTAGCTGCAAAGTGGCAAAAGGCCCCATTCAACACCTCCCATCTACGATGCAAATAGCTACCATATAGTGAATAACAACAGCTACTACTATATACTGAGTACCTACTATGTGCCAAGCCCTGTGCTAAGCACTTTACATACACTATCAGATTTTTCCCTTCACATCTGTCCCCTGGGATAGGTACTAATAGCTCAAAGTTAGAGATGAGGGAATCTTGTCTCAAGAACTTACTGGGGGTTGCATAGCTACTTAGTGGTAGATTCTAGACTCCAATGCCTGTTCATTTTACTTCCCTACATTCTCTTTCCATCTCAGACCTCAACCATCCTACCACTTATCCCTTTCACCAGTCTCTGGCTCTAGAACACATTTCTCTTTCAGAAACCAAGGACAGGATCTCCAATCTGGTCTAATTGGGACATATTTCTAAGGAGGAAGTAGGCAGATGTGCGGCAAAACCACCATGCCAGAGTTTCTGAGAAATGCCCAACACGGAGCCTGGCACCCAGATAGCACGTAACTAATATTTGTTGGACCATAAAGTGCGACCCAGCTTTCCTTCCTGGATGTTTGAGATGGGACAGCTTTCTCACTCTCGTGGAACCGGTTTCCACATCTATGAGAGGAGCACAATAGGGAAGCTCACCAGTGAGACGGCGGCGCGCAGAGGAAACCACCCCGTAAGCCCCGTTGCCTATGGTCTCGATGATCTCATACTCGTCCCCCACGTCAAAGGTCACATCGAAGGAGCGGGCTTTAAGAAGGGCCAGATTCTTGGCCGCTACAGAGGCACTGGTGTTGGCGGGTTCCGCCTTCACGGGCTCGGGGGGCTCTTCAGTGCCGTCCTCGCCGTCTTCCTCTTTCAGGGGCTCGGCCATGACGTCTGTATGGTAACACTGGTGAGGTGGAGCCCGCCCCGGGCCTCAGTTTCCCCTCTGTGAAGCTGGGGAGCAGGACCAGGAAAGAATTTCCAAGCCCCCTAAGCAGACGGGGGCCGGGTAGGGGGAAAAGGACAGTTCTGTCATACAGT